GTTTTTGGATTTGGCGGGGATCCTCGGTGAAATTCTACCATGCCGGAGAAGTTCGCCGGTCTTTTTCCTCTGCTGTGTTCTCCAGCTTCTTCGTTGTATACTGAAGCATTATCACCGGAGCATTTTCTAGTTCAGTGGGGGTGGGGTTGGAAGGCATAATTTCTTCCTCAAAAAATGTCTCCTCACCAAGCTCAGGAAGAGCAGTGAAATTAGGGAAATTTGGTGAGGCAATTTTCTGGAAATTGATAGAACTTGATTGAACTTTGTAAATAAAAGAGCTAGAAAATGAATGAACACGAGAAAAAAGCTTAGAATCAAAATCAAAGAGACAAGTTGAGAGATAGAATGAGAGTGAGATGAGAAGATGAGAGTGAATTGTTGTGTGTGATTTATGATGGAATTAAGGGGTATTTATAGGGGATTTTTGGGTTAAAATTCAATTTTTTTCCGTTGGGTCCGCAAAGGGCCCACTGGACCAAATGAAATGGGCTTCTTCGTGGGCCATTTTGCGGGCTTGGGCCGGGCCGAATCAGGGCTTGGGCTAGGCCGAATAAGGGCCGTGCCGCGGGCCTCCACGTGCTTGGGTCATGTTTAGGCCGCAGACTGAGAAGTTGAGGCCCAACTCTAATCCATTACACGTGTCGTGTCGACACAGCCCGCAACAATAACGAACCAGACCATACCAAATCAAACACTATTACGAGTTGAACCGGACCGTCTATGGACGGCCCGGCCCATTTGACACCTCTATCCAAATTACTCACGAAAGTATTAAAGAAAAATAAATTTTAAGTGTAACGGATAAGAACAACGACGCGTGAGAGCGTGTCTCGTTCTTAGGGATGAGGACTGGGCCCACCATAAAAAACACCCAAAACATGGCAGTCACTACTGATTTAACTCCATGATGACGTAGAAAAAAGAAAAAAGTGTATCATATAAGGACAATATTCAATCCAATTATAAACTCAATCCTATGGGCAAAACCAGGTGCATCTGCTTTTCAAGTACAAAACAATCACCTCCCTAGTTTTTTACCAAATCCAACGGCTAATATTTTGTTAATTTAGCCTCTTCTATTTTATCTATTCAAATTTTTAATTTTTAATTTTTATAATTAAAATCTTTTAAATCATATTACATTTAATTTTTTTATTACAATTAAAAACTCTCAAAAAAAAAATATCATATTTAAATTTAAATTCGTAAAACGAGACCTACTTACTTTTTTTCTCTTTGTCGCTATTTGATTTGTACAGTATCACACCCTTTCCTCACTTCTTGAATCGTTAGTGGCATTATCGTAATAAAGGCCAATGCGAGGCCTATTTTCAACTTCTCTACTGTATATAATATATCGAACTACTCTCAAGATATTTCCTAACCTTATCCTCTTTTACCTACTACTGTTCTTCGTCTTAAACTTCTGGTTCGCTCATATTCCTCTCTCGTTTTTTTGTTGCAATTTTTTTATTTTTTTTATTTTTGGTTCATTGAATAGTGAAAGAATTTTGAAGGAATGGCAATGGACGTAATTTCGGGGAGATCATCTTCGTCGTCGTCGACTCTGAATCCGAACGCTCCGATGTTCGTGCCGCTGGCGTATCGGACGGTGGAGGATTTCTCCGACGAGTGGTGGGCCTTGGTCCAGTCCTCCCCTTGGTTCCGCGACTACTGGCTCCAGGAGCGCTACTGCGATCCCCAAACCGACCCTTCCTTTTTCGATATTTACGATCTTGCCCTCCTGGACGTCGATTCGTTCTTTGACGACGATGTTTCCTCCATGAAAACCGGTAAGAAGGATATCGGAAACCTCCGATCCTGATCCGAGTCAACTCGACGGTTTTGTTAACGTTTCTCATTTCCTTTTTGGTTTTGTTTTCAGAGGAAGAAGGAGAGAGAGATTACTCCAAGAAATTGGTTCGCTTGGGAGCTCTGAAATGGAGGAAAGGCCGCGCTTTGGCGGAAGCTCCGAGATACATCGAGAAGGTTCCGAAGATCGTGAAGGTGAAACCGAGTCCGCGGACGATTCAGCAGCCGAGGTAGATCTGTCGAGTCGGTCGATCTGTCGAGTCGGTCGATCTGTCGAGTCGGTCGATCCGTACTCAGTGAGTTCGTTCGTTGCGAGTTTCCTAGTTGCCTAAAAAGCTTAACCACATATCCTTAATCTTCAATATGCTTTGAGTTTTTTTTCTTTTTTTTTTCGTGTAAATCTTTTTTTGTACAGTGCAGTGACTCCAATGTCGTAGGATCGTAACCTTGTTTCTTTTATTTGGTGCAAATAGAAAATTCACCAGAAAAAAGAAGATAAATAAATTTGAAATCCAAGGAGTTCATCGCTATCTTTTAATTTTTTCTTCCTTTTTTTGCTGAAAAGAAAATTATAACTACCGTGTGTTGCTGCTGGGATTCGAGCCAAGGTCTTCACGGCTACGAGGTGAAATTCGCAGACAAATTATCATTTTTTTCACCTTTATATGGCGATGAGGTGGTTCAAAAACCAAGTAAAATAACAAAAATTTTCATCAGAAATAAAAAAAGAAGTAAAAATAACTAGAATATTAAACTTGTTTTACATGAATACAGGATTGTGTAAAATTCGAACGGATATTAAATATATAAATAATAAATTCCTCAAAGTTGAAAAAGGAAGTCATTGTCATACATACCCTCTAGTAAATGATAAAACTTGGATCTTCATTAACCTACTTCCTCTCTTATTAGCAACTGAGACTGAGAGCCCGACAGTGTTTGATCCGGCGCTAATATAACACCGTTCGTATGATGAGTATTATTCGGTCCAGCGTACTATAACTTTGATTTAAATTATGGTCAATATTCAAGCACTTATTTCCTCTGATTCCCAAGTGCTTGCTGACTTCCCAATCTTCTGAAGCACTCTAATTACCTCTTCTGTTGTAACATTGCCTGTTACAATGACCTTGTTGAGCTTTGTATCGACATTGTATGTCTCAATATCTGCCCCCACAAGATTACCCCATATGAAGCAAATGGAGAGAATTCTAGATTTTTGGTGACTGTAAAGCAATTTTAACAAGATTCAAAACTACCTTCGATTTTCTTGATAGCCTTCAAGATCTTCTTGATGCATTCGGCACAATGCAGAGACACCTTCAACTCGACCACCTAAAAATCAAGAAAAAAAAAATGTCATAAAGAGTTTAAATTCTCCATACCAGAAAATAATATTACTACCCGTCCACCCAAAAAAGAAAAAAAGAAAAAAAAAAAGGTACTAGAGTAAGCGGTAGTATAGTGCTGTGGCTTTTACTTACGTTGGCCATAGATGAACGGAGAAGGATAGCTTAATCTTGAAAAGTTATATGAGAATGAAGTTCTTGAGAGCAAGGTGAGCTGAGAGAAGAGAGTTCCTAGCTAAATTTTCTTTTAGCTCCAAGTGAAACAGAAAACATACATATATAAACCACTAATAGTGGGGTAAAAGGTATTGGATTCTTACGCAGTGGGAAGGGGACTTTTTCTTTAATTTGTTTCTTTTTTAATCCTGTTGAGGCTGCTTTATTCTTGATTGACTTTGGAGGCCATGGGAGAGCTAGCTTCCACTAAAAGGTTCGGCAAAAATCATTACTCTGCCGGGTCCTGTTGGGGACAAAGCCTTTAAAGTTCTTGTGTCCACACCTTTGTTTATTTTTTTCACCAAAAAAATTACAGGAGTTTGTGGTAAAGCAGTAAATTGTTTATGAAAAATACCATTAGGGTGGTAAATTGTTCGCGCTTATTCTCATGTAATTTGGTAGATGAGAGGTCTTAAATTAAAGTCTTTGAGGGAATTTATAGTCACTAAGGGGTGGCACACTTTATCTCTCCTGACGTAAATAATTATGACTTAATACATATAATTGTTTGGCGTGTGAGGGCCTCTATGGTCACATCTTAAGAATAGTTACGGTTAGTTGCCCACTGTTTAAAAAAAAAGAAAAAAGAACATAGTCCGCCACTGTAAGCATTTTAGGCAGAAATTGAAAAAGGATACGTTAATAGGTGGAACAAACACCGTCGTTGTAAGATCTTGGTTGGTTTAGGTTATCAATCATGTTGTTCTTTGCCAGTGCATAATTGCATAATTATATGACGGACAGGGTTTTACGCAGAAATTCTTGTGCTTTTTTAGATGGTATGGCGATTATGGGATGGAATCAATGCTGAGATCAAATGCATTGGGATGGAATCAATGATGAGATCAAATGCATTGGGATGGAATCAATGATGAGATCAAATGGGCCACTAGTTGAAGCATTTGGTTACTTTGAAAGAGTTTATAATGACATTAGAATTTAGATATTGATCAAAGCATATATATATATATATATATATATATTGATTCACAGCTTAATTGGACCTTCTTTGGGTTTACATATTTCTCTTTGTTCTGCTAAAAGACAGACAACAAGAAAGAGAAAAGACGAGACTCGGGACCAAAGAAAAGCTAGGAATTTATTTCAAGAGGATAAATTATGATGAAATTTTAAACTAATACAGAACTTGAAAAATATTTAAAAACATGTTATATTCAAAGATTTTTTTCCCTATCTACACATATTTATTAGTTTATTTATACTTCTGGAGAAAAAAAAAAACATTTTATTAGTTTATATGATTGAGAAGCGTTGTTGTTTTTTTTTTTTTTTTTTTTTTTTTTTTTTTTAAAAAAAAAAAAAAAAAAAAAAATTGTTTTTTTTTTTTTTTTTTTTTTTTTTTTAAAAGAAAAACATGACATACAAGACTTTAACTAGAAGTATTCTTTTCAATACAAGAAACGAATCATTACAAAACCAATAATAAAAAAAAAGACATTATTATTCAAATCCATCATTCTGAGTAAAACTATATGATGAAAGTACAATAGAACAATTTCACCAGAAGTATAAATAAAACAAACACATTGTCGGGGAGAGTTGGTTGTAAACAGTGCTGAAACTTTGGACAGGCCGTCTGTGACTACCGAAAAATCCGAATTTTTGCCCGATGACCGAACCCGACCTGCCCGAAAATTCGGGCTGCCCGACCCGACCTGAAAATTCCCATGGACGGGCTTCGGACAGAGGAAGCCTGCCCGTGCCCGGTCGGGCTGCCCGATGCCCGACCGGCTGCCCGAATTTTTTTTTTTTATATTATATTTTTATGTTGTTGAAATAAGTATTTGTATAATTACAATGTGTAATTGTGTATATTACAATTTGAAATATGAAATGAACACACAACACGAATGAACTATATAAAAAAAATTACTTCTTCATTGATTTTTAAATTTGTAATTCATGATTGCCTCATTAAAAACCTTACCAAGAAAAACCCAATTGGGATAAAAACTTGGTAAGGAAAAAAAGTGCAATCATTGTGGGACGAATTACAAATTCGATGAACTTACAAAGTCTATATAAGATTATAATAAACACTATACAAATTAGAAATTACAAAGTAAATAAATATTTACAAAGAAATTATCAAGATGAAGCAGAAGGATCATCTTGAAAATTAAAAGTTAATCTATTAAATTCGTCGATCCATTCTTG